TCCACAGCACATTTGAAACCTGAAGCTTTTGGCTGACAGACGAGCTTCATGTCACTACGCTACCAGGGTTACCATCTGATCCACATTGATATAAATGTTTATAAATGTTTAGCTCCAAAGTCGACTTAGTTTTAAAAGATTATGAATTTCATAGTTGCTTCTCACTCTCTATTCTCAATTGTAGATCTTTGATAGGTCCAAAGATTCGTCGAAAACCTGTAATAAGCCTGTATCTCTTTTACTCTCGCTTCAAGTTTAAGAGCCATATAAACGAATGGTCTTATAAATGTTTTAAATATTTTCGTCTTGTGTAATTCTACGTAATATTCATTTCTCTTTGTGTGTGTGTGTGTTTGTGTGGGTGTAGCGTTTTCAGCTTTCTTTTAAATGTGTGTTTTTAAGAACATATATTCCTAGTAGCATGGTTTTTATGTATGTCTACGGTCTTCTGTTTCGATGGAGGGAATCAATACGGACTGCACATGTTTTTATACAAATCTATTTCAAACCCTTTGGATTCTTCACTTGGTGTCCCCCACCTCGCCATAAACACTTAACATGTGTTTGGTAATGTTTTTACGTCTTCCAGTTCAAGAAAGCAGACGTGGACTGCTTCACTGGACACTTTGTCCTCTGTCGTCATCGTCATTTTTAATTGTTGTTCTTCTTCCGTCCACCTCCACCTCCCTGCCCTCCGTCATCCTCGTTTTTCTTCTTCCCACCCCAGCTTCACCTTTTTTTTTTTCACGTCGTGATTGCACCTACCAGGATTTCCCTCTTTTTCTTCTCTCACTCTTAGCTGTATCCAGAAGTTCATGTAGGAGGTCTGTGCCTACATTAAAATATTAACTTGCTAGCAGGTTTAAAAACAAAAAAAAAACAAAAATTATAAAAGGCAACAACAAAAAAGAAATTAAGCGCACGACCACGTACACACACATACATACACACGCACATATCTACACAAACATTCACACACACATACGCACACATCTACTCAAACACACACACACACACACACTCACACACATACACGCACATACACACACACGCGCTCGTGCGCACACACACACACACACACACACACATACAAAGGACCGAGAAACACAAAGAAGTGGAAACGAAGAAAAATTGTACATCGATACCACTTTTTGCTGGCAATGTTATCAACTGCTCAACTGTTCAATATCAAAGACCTGAACATCAGTTTAAAGATGTACGGTTTAAAAAAAAGACGTAGGCGCTTCAAGCGATTAGAAACGAGACAAACAATTACAGCTGGGAGAGATTGTTACTGATAGTCCCAGACAGTTAGGCTACATGTAAAGTCGTACATAGTTAAATGGTTAGTAGGACAAGTCAGAATCAATTCTTTACTTTCGGGACACAGGTCGTGGAAACTCGTTTACGATTCTCATCTGTAGGTCTTCCTCTGTCAGTCTTTCCAGTATTGTGCTTCTAGGCGGTGTTCTCTCCCCCTCCCTCCCCTCCTCCACTTGTCTGCCCTTACCTGGCCCTGCAACGGTGATTCATTGCTAGAGGGTGGTCGAAGCTACGTTGCTAAAGTAGTCTTTGGGCGGGCAATAGAATCATGTCGATATCATAAAGGGCATCTAAATTAATCCATTAAAGTTTTGTTTTTAGTTGGATATGCTTCATGAGTCAATCAATTATCTGAGACGTGTGGATAAAGCACAATCAATGGGCTTACACTCTAAGACAATAGTTACACACACACATACACACACACACACACACACACACACACACACACACACACATACACACGATAGGCCAAATCACAAGGTTGCAATGTAAAATGCATCTAAACTTATTAGAGACGACATGAGGATGACGTGAAAAAAACAATTAAAGTGGGGTGGGATATACAAAAATGACGGAGGGCGGGGGATTGGGGGCGGAAGAAGAACAACGAAAATGACGATGACGACAGGGGACAAGGTGTCTAAAGAAGCAGTCCACGTCTGTTTTCCTGAATTATAAGACGTCATTACAATACCTAAAACATGTTAAATGTTTATGAAGAGATAGGGGACAACAAAGTGAAGAATCCAAAGGAATTTATATCGATGTGTATAAAAACATGTGCAGTCCCTATTGATTCCCTCCATCGAGACAGAAGACAGTAGACATCAATAAAAGCCATGCTACTACGCATACATTTTTTTTTTTTTTTTAAATGCAGAAACATTCACAAGGTCTGACAATTGAGTAATGAGACTGATTTTATTAAGGCCAAGATAGAATTGCCATCTATAAAGCAAAGCATGGAATCTAAAGATCAACCTTCGTCTACAATCTGGCAACTTTTCATTGCCCAATAAGCCGACAACAAACAAGCCGATATTTTGTTAACCTAGTTAGAGGTGCATTGTTACGTAATCATCATGGAGCCCCCCAAAAAAATCTAACATTAAATTATATTTAAAACTCAGTTGCGACAGTTGAATTGATGTGACAAGTTTATGGAAATAATTGTTTATCACGTGCACATATTTTTAGCTGATATTCACGATTCAAAAATGGTATGGAAATGATTGCTAATGTAACTAGACCTGGATGCCCAATTTTTGTTAGTAATGGGGAACTTATTGCAAAATTCCGAGAACGGATAAAAGACTAGAGTTGTCCGACTTTGAAGATAATGGTAAATGAATTTGGTGTTAATACAGAGACTATTCGTAAAATTGTAGAGGAAGATTTGGGCAAGAAACAAGTTGCTTATCGGTTTGTGTTCAACACCTGGAAATTTGTTTCCTTCTTCATGAAAATGCACCAGCTCAAAGGGCGGTAGTTGTACAGGAATTTGTGGCCCAAAAACAGATGCGTGTTTTCAACCATCCACCATATTTCCCAGATTTGTCTCTCTGTGATAATTTTATATTTCTAAAATTAAAGTTGCCATTAAAAGGACGCTTCTTTGACATTATTGGTAGCATCCAAAGGGCAGTAACATCGACTTTAAGGGCCATAACGATAGCAGAAGTACAGAGGTCGTTCTAGTGTTTGTTAGATCGTGTAACTCCATGTGTCAATGCACAAGAAGCTTACTTTGAAAAAAAAATACAAGTTATGTCTCCAACTGTTGATTATTTAATTGTTTTATGGAATTAGTCTCATTACTCAATTGTCGGACCCTGTAAGACGCGCGTGTTTTTATACAAGAGTGTTTTACAAAGCATTAACTAAGTAGCTCCAGCGACGAACATGTAAAGACAGTTATTATATTCCACTGTAAGGAAAAGGTAACAGATACATTTGAAAAATGAACAGATTTGCAGAATGATGTCTTTTGTCGCCTCTTCTATTTTTCCTGGCAATAGGGTCGATTATGAAGTTAACTGCTGCCAACGCCAGGAATGGAATTCTGTGAACCCCCACAAAACAGCTTACGAATCTTAACTTCGCTGATGATATTTCTGTTCTTTCCCACTCACGGAATCAGATGCAAGATAAATTAAATATGCTTGTTGCAACATCACAACAATTAGGTCTAAAATTCATAGGGGAAAAACACAGGCAGATAAACAAGCAAATAGTAACCTGCGTTTTTTTTTTTTTTTTGGCGGGGGGGGGGGGGGGGGGGGGGGGGTCTTTTTTCTGAATGGTTTTCCACTCTAAAATCTAGAGTCAAACACATGGAGCGGCACTGTGAGTCACAGATTTAATGCGGAGTGCCTGTCGTAGTTTTTCTTGTGAGCTGCAGGTTTAAAAAAGGGCATTTTACCTGTTGCCACAAAAAACTAGTGCTACCTGATGCACACACACACACAAACTGCCTTTTAAAGTACTGAGTTGTTATAACTCTTGCTTCCATCGATGATGAACAGACTTTCTAGTGCAGGACCGTTTGTATTAATACTTCTGACGACTGCCTTATGCATGTAGTGCATGTATATACTATTAGGTTTACTGGGAGTGAAGTCTGTATCAACTATTTAATAAGGGAACTGATAGTCACTCTGTGTAGTTTCATTGGCAGAGGAATCTAGCAACCAGGTGGAAATGCGTTTACTGTGTTGTTGGAAGGGCGAAGACATGACCACCTGACATGTATCTGCTGCATGACTGAGGCAGTACATTGCTGCTGAGCAAATGAAATGCTGCATTCGACAAAGTGGGTCCGGTAGTATTCACATAGACAACAATGGATATACTTCTGGCAACCTGCTTTATACTGTCCTAATATCTAAAAGGGACACTTTTCCACGCCTTCAGGCGTATTGGACATAAAGGGCTAGACCTACTTTTTATAGACTAATCGGAAAAACGCCTACAATTGTCTGTCTGCCATTTGCTAAAGTCTAACGTCTGTCTGATAATCCAAGCGTTGTCACTCTGTTCGTGAAGGTAGGCGGCTAATTTGCTTTCCCACAGAGGAACATATATATAACACCCACTTTCACAATACCGGTTGTTAAGTCACCATTTCGTCTTGTCCCTGTCCGAATGTCCGATCAAGTGCAGCAGTTGGAGATTAAGGCCTGGCTTCATGAACCAGATCGGCCCACATTGTATAGGAAGTAATGAGCCGAAACAATCGTCGAAGAGGGATCTTTCTACTGATGAGACCCCTGCTGTGCCTGCTCCCCTGTGGAGTTCTTCTTACTTATAGAGCACACTGCTAGACAATACACGATCATTTTCTGACATCGTGCTTTATGCTCAAATAAATTCCTGACTTTTCTTGAAATGTAACAGCTGCTTTCTGTTGTTAATTGAAATTCTTTATCAAACACGGTTATTATCAGTCAGTGTTTAATTTTCTGCAGTAATACTTACAGACCAAATTGCTACGTCGTACCACTAAATAGTAAAACTAGTTGAAGAGAAGCACCGAGCGTGCATCCTCCCAGGCACATTGCATTCAAAAGCGAAAAAAAAGGCTGTACATTATGTTTTTTTTAATTAATTTCCATATAATAATCATTTGTATATTTGTATGAGTAGTTTGATTAGTTGCAAGTACGTTGTTTTTATTAATTATGGTTTAATTGGGATTTGCGTCCAAACGCGAAGAGAGTAGCACGAAATTTAGTATTATACTTATAGTAAATTAGCACATTCACGGCAGAATTAAGCTGCTCGAAGTGGGTTCGAATACCATTAAGGGACATGTATAAATATGTATAACGTCTACCAATAGTGAAATTTGGCTCACACATTGAACCCAAGCTGATTAATAGTTTTGGTATATTGCAAACGATATATACAACAGATATAAGAACTACTTGTTGGACCACTCGTACCTCTTTGTTGATTCGTTTGAGAGGAATGGTATGCGTGTTAAGATTATTAACTGCTTCCTTACCTAAATTGTTTTCAGTTTTAGTGGCTTCTTGAGTCACTTTTCCAGACACCGCAAGCGAAGCCTGTCTAAATCGGGAACTTGCTCGAAGACTGGCAGTCATAATGAATACACAGATGATGATAATTACTTGCGTGATCAATGGTAGAATCACTTCTATCAACAACCACACGACTTCCTTGACAGCTTCTCGTGAGGGAGATCCCCACCAGACTGATCGAGACCTGTTGGCCTGCTTGTCAAACTTAACGGACATCCCCATGTTCGCTAAAATCGGTGAGTAAATCGCTATTGATGAAAAAGCGAATATAATCATGAACATAGTTGCTCTCTCTCGTGTGAACGTATTCTTGAATTGTAGAGGTCTTGCCACGCACATACTTCGGGCAACTGCTAAATACGTAGTGGCCAGGACGTTGGTCACGTTTACCAGAATCATAATGTTGGTAAAGTATATAGACAACCCGAATGGCTGTATTGGTAAAATAAAAATCTGATCTCAGTTCAGCGACATAAAGAGTCACTGTTATCCCTAGGGACACGCCTGCGATGAGATAAAACAAATCAAAGACCGCCAGTGACAGGAAAGAAACTATGACACCATCATTAATGCCCATAGTCACGAATGTCCTTATGATAATAATGTTTGATATAACGCCTAAAAGGGAGAGAACTGTGCCCATCTCAGCAGCGTATTCCAAGATTAGGATGTATTGTTCCCTCGTAACAAGGCCTCGGAGTATGAACAACTGGGTTGTCAGGTTTCCTGTAGTGGCCATTTGCTATGGCGTTGTGAATTCTTACTGCGTTGTTGTTTTTACTGCTTAGTATTCATGTTTTTCCCTTTGTTATGGAAAAAAATAGAGTTCAGAGCAGGATTCTGTGAAGAACAAATTATGGATATAAATTAGGATACGAATGATTAAATCACTGTATTCCAGCTCTTAGGGATGAGATAAAATATTCACAATAAAATAACATGACTGTTGAGAAGCTAAGGAGGGTACTGTTACGATTTAACTTTTTTCTTACCGTTTAACATTTGTTTTTATTTTTCTTAGCATTCATTGGTTGTAAAACTAGATAGAAATGTCTAGATGTTTTTCAACTTCTAGACAATTGACTTGATACAAAACCTGAGATTTGCATGCACATGGGTTTTACAAATCTGGCCTATCTGTGTGCAGACTGTAGGTTTCTCGCCTCTCAGATGCACTCCGATTTTGAAAGAAAGTATCTTAAATAGTCGTCTCGTCTTCACCACTTTTCTTGTTAGAGAGGCAATGGTCTATTCACAGCCTAGCAGCGTATGTGTGTGTGTGTAAGTGTGTGAGTGTGTGTATGTAAGAGAGAGAGAGAGGGAAAGAGAGTAAAAATATACGCAAGTGAAAGTACTGGGTCTACCTTGTGCAATCAGTTCGACGTCATGGATGGAATCCAGTCAAGCAGATTTTGCCCTGGCACAAAACACTAGGCGCCTTATTATTGAGAGACATCTAACCTTCACTTCTCATGTAAAAGCACTTGTAAAGCAAACAACTTGAAAAAAAAAAGTATACCATCTAGCAACAACAACAAACTTTTTTTTTGATAGGACCACTAGAAAAGTATTATAGACTTCCCATATTCAAATCAATCTCCAGACTATTGCTCCGCCATAAGAGATGGATATTCAAATGACTTAAATCACTTCAAAGAAGAGCTGTACGTTTAACAAGCACATTCAGTGTTTCATTATTTCTGTCTCCACATTTCTTATCTTATAACGTTGTCAAAATCAACACAGAGCTTTTTTTTGCTACGAAAGCTCCTACATTTGAATCGAGAGAACTTATGTCTACATTCAGTGTTTCATTATTTCTGTCTCCACATTTCTTATCTTATAACGTTGTCAAAATCAACACAGAGCTTTTTTGCTACGAAAGCTCCTACAGTTGAATCGAGAAAAATTATGTCTACATTATAAAACTGTCTTCAAAAAACTCTAATCCACTGACAACATCAGCAGTACTCAGTGATTTTTGCATCATTTTTCGATAAGATAATTTACAAGACAGGATAGATTGTCTAGCCATTCTTTATATAGCAGCAGTTTTCACCCTGGAAGGCAAACAAATTGTCAAGGGGAAGGGGGCGTGAAGCACATTTGAAAATGGAGTGCATCTGCACTTATAACAATCTGTTATACCAAACATTTTGTTTGCTGTTTAATTATAAATCTAAACATGTGTTGCTATTTTCCTCCACAAACCTTTGAGAGTCCAGACGTTCTGCTTTAACATTCATAAAAACGGAATGGCACTGTCAGCTTGGTGTGGGGGTAGAGTGATCTCCCTTGTTCCTTGTCGATCGGCAGACCACAAATAGCAGATAACATCAGAACAGAACAGTATCTACAATCACAATAATATTTGGCTGCCAAATTATCATTTGTTGATCATCGTTTCGCATATGTTATGTGACACTTTGATTGATGCGAATGGTTTTCTACAAGTTCCTATGAATGATGCTTGAAATTTTTGTTTTATCACCTTATTGTAATTTTTTAAGTTCTAAATTTTTTCTTGCAGTATATTGAGGAGAAAAAAAATTTCGACGAACGTTAAAATCCAAACGCGACCATAGTTTTAATGAACCTTTGACATCGAAAATTCTTCAACATAATACCTACCTGTCGTTGAATCCACATTACCATTATCAGGGGATTAGAGTTTCTTGATTCCTGTCTATGACGTTTTTCCAAACTATCAGATGTAAGGAACCACCGTATCTTAACAAGAAAACAGTTTCTGTAACTTTGGGGGGTGGGGGGGGGGGGAAAAAAAAAAGGGGGGGGGGGCATAAATCGTTCGCGTGAGTGGAAATAGATAAATACGGCAACTTCATTGTGGAAATATGCCAATCAACATTCTCCTGCTGAACGCACGAAGATTATTTTCAAAGGGTCACAAATTAGGCAAGCAGGTAATGACGAAACAACAGATAGCTAGAATGCATACATTCCTAAGCTGCGCTTCATTTTTGTTTAAGTTTACATATGATCTTTTTTTTTCTCTTTCATGCTGCTTATTTCCATGTGCATTTAGTAAATGACTTTTCTGACTCAAAGAAACAAGTTTCTAACAAAGCACCTTTGCAAGCTCTATTTAAAAATATATATATATATAAAGACCATAAGTGAGCACATGCTAAGACAAGTCTGGCATCTGGCTAACAAATAACTTTCTTCTAACGCACTCATCATCATCATGTAGCAGGTCCTTTGCAGAACGTCGCTTTCATCATGGTCTGCCTGAAAGAAACTAGTTTTCTCGGCAGTTCTCCGGCCTAATGTACTTTAAAAACTCAAGGAATCACTTATATCCTGTGCCAATCTTTGTGTTGCTCGGCCCCTGCCCCTCCTTCCTTGTACTATGCCTTCTTCTATTATTTTCTCCAATCCGTCGTGGCGTTTGACATAACCAAAATATTTCAGCTCCTGTCAAATTCAGTACATGCAATAATACATTACCAGTAGATATAACAGCAAAAACCTTATGTCCACACAAGCAGAAATACATTGAATGCCGCAACCTGGACAAAGATATTCACTAGAACAAAGATTACTATTATACATATGAGCATTGTAAGTTTTCTCGCTTTCATAGGGGTACATATTTTGGTTTAGATAGAGAAAGTAGGACACCTTTGTCAACATTCTGATTTCGACCCTCAAGTGGTGACATCTTAATGCATTTCGCTGATGAATATCTCTGTAAACACAGTAAATGTAACAAACTATTACTAACTGATACAAATGCAGTAAACCCATGTTTACACCGAAAAGTAATTAATACTCATGTCACAAGAGTACTTGGGATGTTTACAGAAAGAAGATGGCATTTTTTTGTACGCACATTATATTTTTCTTTAGAGGCACATACCGTATTTCTGCCTTTAAAAAAAAAAAGAGTATGTTTTGGCATGGGCAGAAGAGACAACGTTATGTTTTTTTAAACTGTCGACATAATCAATAGAAATAATGTTAAAAAAAACAGAACAAAAACGTATAGAAATACGTAACAGCCCTTTTTAATTAGTTGACGCGAAAGCCTGTACTCCTGAAAACTATCGATGATGCAGCTGCAAAAGAACTGTCAATTAAATGGTCGAACCCTAAGGTATTCTTGCTTGCAATTTGAACTATTTCACTCAAGAAATTACAAATACTTTGGCTGTTATGCGTTTCTCGTTGTACAGTATATTTAACGTGCCACACACAATTGCTGCAATAATTTTTTTCATACACAGCAGAGCGTGTTGATTTAATACGTCCGTACTTTCAAAAGTAATTATAGGATAATAATTTCAAGCTGTGATGTGCACGGATAAAATAGCTGTAATTATTTAAAACTGATTATCCGTTGTTATCCACATACAAGTATACGAATATACCAGGATTCACGCGTTGAACAGACGTTGTTTACGGTTTGTTTCTCTAATTTGACAAGCCATTAAATGTGTTTTGCGTGTGCATTGTTCCTTTGCAAGCCAACAATATGTATCGTCATGAAGGCAGACAGATTTTGTTTCAGTTCGAATTCCTCTACTGTGCGTGTGTAAGTGGCAACCGTTTGAGGAAAGCACTTTATTTCATTTGTAATGTTGCTGGAGGAAAAATGTAGTATATGATTACGTCGTACAGCTTCACATGGGACTTTTATTGTTGGCAATTTGGACACAAATCACAAAAATCGTTTTTATTGTCACATGTGCTAGTTACATTAAATAGTGTTGTCAAATATTGTGTTTTCATTTTCACTGTCTTGTCACGTTGTGACAAATTAAATAGCGCTTTTAAATTACGTGGTTACTGTTTATTATCATCAGTGTAATTACGGCATGCAGTGAAAAATGCATCTTCACTGTTAAAATGAAGGTGACAGAAGCATTTATTTAAAGCAGTTATAGATCACAATTTCTTTAGATTTTTTTTCTGCTGGCATTGCCATTTTTAAATGCTAAGCACATCACGTGTGAAAGGCGGTGATACTAAGTGAAAAAGCATTAATTTGGCCGGTTGGATGACGGCTGAGCAGTCTCTTCGTGGGCTTGATATTTTGCTTTTTAATCCTCCCAACAAACTCCTGACATTTTAATTACAACACACATAAACACACACACACACACACACACACACACACACAACCACACACAGAGCTTGTACGCCATGTGGTCAAGAGTTCAAATTATAATCCGAATTTGTTTCATTAGCTTGAACTCTCAGGTCAGCCCAGCATACAGTGTCTACTAGCACTCGCCCGCGAAAATACAGTGGCAATTGTGATATTGATAATGTCACATGTTTCTTGCAAATTGATCTAAATTTTCATGATAGCACAACATGTAGTTTGTACTTCACACAGGACCCACAGTCGATTTACTCATTGTGCTCTATCCCAAGTGCGATCCTTTTGTGACTGCCCCTTTAATCTTGCCCTATACCTCTAGTCTCTCATTTGATTCATGTTTCTATTAAATGTCCTAGGTCTCCAAATCCATTTTCTTTTAATTGTATTCAGGCGTTATACAAACGTAATGGCGTGATGAGCTACACACATTCAGCAGTTATCAGTATTTCAAAATGACATCAATGCATTACAAAACTATTTATTTTTTTAACTGTTGTTCATTTCAACTTTACAACACCAAAACAGTGAACACGTGGAATCGTTTTTATTGTTATTTGTGTAAATTCTCCCAAACCTACATGGTTATAATACTACTGGACGTACTGCGG